ACGGTCCTTAACCGACACGAACAGAAAAAACATTGTAACCAAGCTATGCCCCATTGGTTGCGGGACACAACCTATTACACCCACCAATACCTATACCATATCCCTACTTGGTCTCCATTTCCTTTCACCATTTTATCATTAGAGTAATAATAATAATCACCTATTGTGAGTAACGGCAGGTTACTCACGCTCTACCGAAAAACCTAAGCGTAGCAGCTACTCGCACCTGTACTAGTAGGACTCATAGGATAAATATATTTATGCAGGTGGTTTCCATAAAATGCCTATAACGTAAATGCACATCACAGATATATATATTCAGTGATTATTCAAAATAAGGTTATGCACTGGGGCTTGCCTTGGACAGGCGAAGTGTTAGCTCAGTCAGTTAGTGGTGGCTCCGTGATCTCCTCCCGCATGAGGATCTCCTCCTCGTACTCCTCGATCACCTCCTCGAACTCGTGATCTCCGACGGCCACGATCTCTGCCAATTCGTTCTCTACATGCATGCGATGATGCAACACGTTAATATTGAGGCAACAACAATTCTTAAAATAAGAATACATCTACTAAGCCACTAAGCTAGCTCTAATGGTTAAGATACTAACCACTTATCATTTCCGCAAAAACAGGTATGGATTCATCTAACGGTTATTAACTTAGCAACTAAAATGTAATCTTACTCTTATTGGTGATCTAACTTATATTACCATAAGGAGCACCTAACTACGCTAGTACTTAGCCTATTCTAAGGCTATAAAAATTACAGCGAGCACATAATAATACAATGAATCTACTGTAAAAATTTCATGGTCAACGTTATTACCAATTTGCCACAAAAATTCCTATAAATACTAATCTAAATAATACTAAACACTCGCAAATGATTTAATAAGCCTTAGCATCAACTTAGACCTGCATCATCTAATCATACCATCATATAGACAACATTTTCAGGAACCCAACAAAATTTATTTCACAATTTTTGGACACCTATGTGAATTGATATTAATTTTCAAAGTTCAGCTCAAAGTATAAAATATAAAACTATTTCTAATTCCTTTAGAAAAAGAAAAACAAATTCTCACTCCGCGGCCCACCACCGCGCGGCCCACCGCGAGACGACCCACAACAGGGTGACCCACGCGTGCTGCCAACTTTGCAAAAACGCCCCCACGTTATAGACAAATCAACCCGGGGTCTACAATACTATTCCTCGAGAGAGAGGCTATGCAAAAAGGACCTCGCAACTATCCTCTTTTACCACGGCCAGGTCCTTGGCCACCCCTGCGCGCGTTGGCACGGTGGGCACGGCAATGGACGGCCACGCCGGCCAACTAAGGCATGCAGCGGCCCCGCTAGCGGGCCGACCTCCATCTACGGTCCTAGCGCCTACACTAGATGAAGTTATGGGAGCAGCGGAGCTTGCGGGAGCGGTGGCCATGGCGAGCGGCCACGTGCGATGGTGGCACGGCCGTACCGACCATCCTAGACCACCGCGTAGCTATTGGCTAGCGCATGAGCAACCCTAGCTTACCCCGATCACGACTGTGGTGATGGTTGAGGGAACGGTCAGCGGATAAAGGCTGGCGGCGCGTGACCGGAGGGGTGCGATGGTGCTCCGAGACGGCACAACCATGTCAGCAGCTATGGCGAGTCGGTAGAGGTGCAAGCGAGGCGCAGGGTGAAGTGGAGGTGGAGGCAAAGCTCGTGAGGTAGGTGGATTGACGTGGAATGGTGCGGTGGGTGATTGCCCTCGTCCACGACCGAGCCCGACCTTAATGGCACGGTGGAGGGAAAACTCCAAAATTGGAGCCTAATAGGGCTTGGTTAGGACCGTACGTGGACTTGGCGCGTAGCTAGGTTCCTTAATTGACATCTGGCACAAGTAATTGTATAGAGATCGATCGGGCGCTGCAGGATCAGCTTCGACGCGACGTAGCCTCGTCTGCCCACCTTCAATGGCGATGATGGCTTGGCACCGGCGGTTTCCATTTAATGGAAGATGACAAGGGCGAGATCGTAACCGGCTGCACATGTGGCACAGAGCGAGGCCAGCAATGCGTGGAAACTCTGCGTCGTCTCGATGAGCGGCTGGTCACTAGTGAGTGCACACACGCGTGTGGGTGTCGCAGCGGGCTACTGGACAATGTGGCACCAGAGTAGAACGTGCGCGTTGCTGCGGTTACAGGCTTGACCTTGTGCTGCTACAGCACCACGAGCGGGACGATGACGAGACAGCGGAACCCGAGGAGGGCGGTGCGCACAGCAGCGATGACATGACGGCAGCTGTAGCAGCGTGGCACGACGGCAGGACGGCCAGGCGTAGGTGAGCGGTGGGCGCGGCGGCTCGCGGTTGGTGGCTAGCGGCGTGCCCACCGTGGCCAGGCTACGACAGTAGCAACCGGCCAGCGTGGCCACATGCGCGTGCGCCCTAGCGCACCGATGCCGCGATATCGGGGCTGGACGGCCTAGTGACCGCACCCAACATGAGAAGACGGCCCAAGTTCATATTATGCACGGATTTTAAAGCGTTCGAGACGTCTAAACCGTTGATCCAATCCCCAAACCACTTTTGCTATACCTTAGAGGGTATATTAGGCTACTAAAACAAGCCATAATACTACCCTACTCATTAACCCAATTTCTCTACAAAAATTGCTAAACATCACAATGCCTAATCTTCCAAAAGTTCATGAAATTTTCTAAATGTTAAATGGATTTCTATTTCTAGTTGCACTTTTAAGCTATTGAATATAGTACTTAACAACATTATCTCTCAACACCAAGTATTTCATTGTCATCTACAAATCTTATATTTCCAACTTTATTAAGGTGTCACATATATGTTTTATAGCGTTTTAGTTCAATAAAAATTAGTTAACATCCCTACTTGCTAACTTTATAAATCGCGAATTAACTTTTCATTTTACGTCTTTACGACTCGTTTAAGTTACAATGCTTTACCTATTCATCACACCACATGCAATATCACTTAAGTATGATGCTCATGACATGTTTTAGCAAGTGATTCACTATGTAACACCGATGGTGTTACAGTAAGAGCATCTCCAATAGTTCCTAAAAAAATAAATTAGTAAACCAATGAGTTTTTCAAGTGGCTAAAAAAGTTGGGAGCACATTTGTTGGGTTTCTGCAATGGTTTCTAAAATCTTGGTTCTAAAATATAAAAGATAATTTTATATCAGGAATTCTAAACTATTTCAAAAACACCTCAACTAGTTTGATACTTTCTTTTATGTCTTGTACATTTGTATTGGGAACCTTGTTCTACCCCTTATTCTTCTCCTAAGTCCTTCGACCACCAGATTAGTTGATCGATACCCGCGCAATTCTAGATTGGTTTTCCCATGTGCGAATAGATTGGGAATTGTTGGAGAGTAGTTAAAATCAGTATTTGGAAGTGGGTTTTGGAAACTATCAGAGTTGCTCTAAGAGCGTGGTCTACGACCTAAAAACCTTGTTTTTGTAAAAAACAGAAAAGAGGGTTAATAAATTGTACAATAAACACACAAGAGTTTCAACTTAACTGTAGAATAATAAAAATTTTGTAGTAGATAATAAGATTGAAATTTGAAAATCAAACTTTAGATTCATGACGTCATAATACATGGGGTACTCAAGATCCACTATAGTTTAAGTTAAGATCCAATTAGATGTTTATTTAAGATACACCATGCAAAGAAAAAAACTGCGGATATGGATGAAAAAAACATATAGACCAATAATTGGTAACTTTATCTTGATTAGATGAAGACTACATTATATACTATGTATATTGTGTTAAAAATAAACAAGGAGAAAATTGTGCAATTTCATATAAGTATTTTTATTAGTTAGAGATATAAACAATAACTAATACCCCTGTTCGCTTGAGCTTGTTTGGCTTATAAGCCGTACTTTTTCAGCCAACGAACAATATTTTTCTCTCATACCAAATCAGCCAACAGTACTTTCAGTCATGGCTTATCAGCCAAACAAGCCCAAACAAACATGGCGTATATCTTCTAATATTATGGCATGTGCGATAGCACATGTTGATGGACTATTGAATATAAACGGTGAACATGTCTTAGCAATGCTAAATTCACTTAGTTCAAAAATCAAAGTTATACTTTCTACCTAAGTACCAAATGCAGTTATGAAAATGTACATCTTGAAAAAAAAATCTACATGATAGAAGTAGCAATTGCAGTTGGCAACTGAAGTTATGAAAGTACACAACACACTAAATTCTCCGCTTGAAACATTTCAATTTCGTAGGAAATATTTTAAACTAATTTTAATACAGTCATGACAGGGATATAAAAGGCACTCAACTAAACATATGAAACCAAATATACTGTAAATTAATAAATTAAGGGGGTGTTTGGTTCTTTAGACGCTTCTAAAATTTATGTCACATCAAATGTTTAGAGGCTAATAAGGAGCATTAAATATAAATTAATTATAAAACTAATTACATAGATGGAGGCTAATTTCCGAGACGAATTTTTTAAGCCTAATTAATCTATCATTAGCACATGTTTACTGTAGCACCACGTTGTCAAATCATGGACTAATTAGGCTTAAAAGATTCGTCTCGTCAATTAGTCGCAAGTTATGCAATTAGTTTCGTAATTAGTCTATATTTAATACTCAATGCATATGTCCAAATATTCGATGTGATAGGAATTTTAGGAGGAAGAAAAAGGAACCAAACAGGCCCTAAGCATGTGGTTTTGAGCAGATAACAAATTAATCATGTGGCGACACTTCACCACCTCCCTCACTACACGGGCCATTACTTGAGGCCCAGGAGACTTCAGTGTAGGCCTGCTAATTCTATATCCGACCCCACACGTCAGTCTTCTCCACTGCTCCCAATCAAATTCCCCCAAGCTGCGGCCACCCGCCGGGTCCAGACTCGCCGCCGCGTGCCAAAACCCTAACCCCTCCCCGCCTCCGCCTCCGCACCGGCCGCGCGACCGTCCCCAGAGATGGGGCGAGACAAGAGCCGGCGTCTCTCCGGCAGCGGCCACTTCCGGCAGCGGCTGGTGCTGGCGACGCTCACCTCCACCGCCGTCACCATCGTGGACATCCGCTCCGGGGACGCGGCCCCGGGGCTCCGCCCTCACGAGGTCTCCCTCCTCCGCCTCCTCGACAAGATCTCCGACCACCACACCATCGAGCTCAACGATACAGGCATGGACTTGCCCCCGTGAGCTTGATTGTATTGTGCGTCCTGCCTTTGTGTTTGGTTCCGGGGGTGCTGGTGCTTATGGGGGGTGTTGCTTGTATGTGCTTGCAGGAACGAAGCTGAAGTACCGGCCGGGGGTGATTATAGGGGGAAAGGGCCTTGAGCACGACTGCGGGGTGCACCGGGGTATTGGCTACTTCCTTGAGCCGCTCATACTGCTTGGTCTATTTGCGAGGGCTCCTATATCGATTCGGCTCAAAGGTAAGGTCCTAATATGTTTATGTTGTGCTTTAAGTGTCAGGCCAAATGGATTGCTCCAAAGAATTTTTATGTTGTGCTTTAAGTGTCAGGCCAAATGGATTGCTCCAAAGAATTTGGTGTGTGGAAATTTTCTTCCTGGATGAATTTCTTTGCGGTTGTACCTGATTTCAATAGAAATTGTTTGGTTTGAATTTCGTTAAAGTAGTTGAATTGTGCTAGTGCTTTAAGTGTCAGGTTGCTGGTTGATACCCTCACGCTAATTCTTTTGGCACCACCTTTATTCATTAAAAGCAAGTCAGAGAAGTGAGGTGGAAATCACCCTAGTGTACATTTTGCAACACCTGTTGTTGGGACAATACATAGAGTGGCCTACATGGTTACATGAAAGCAAAGTTGAATGAGAAGTGTGCCTCCAATGCCCCCTTGGCTACGTTGTGAGCTACTTTGATTGTTTCTTGGCCTATTTTCGTGCATACAAAGGGTCTAGGTTGTCAGCTACTTTGTTTCTTGCTCAGCCTAATTTCCATTATACAAAGGGTCTTTCTTTGTTGTTGCTGGAGAACCCACTAATAGAGGTCGACCTCTCCAGACTGCTAGCTGCTCAATAATGTTATCTTCTCGTGAAGTTGGATGTCTGTAATATGATTCACCTGGCCGAAGTTGAGTGCATTCACCACTATGGATGCAAGTAATATACCCTGTGATTCTGCATGAAGAGGTCCCTGTACTTCTTGCTTTTGGGCCTGGATGAAGATGCCTCCTGGGATTGAGATCCCATTATCATGGATGAAGAGACCTAGACTCCCTAGTCCTGCCCTCGTCTGCTGAGTAGTGCCACAATTTGTGCTTGTATTACCTGTCCTCCATTGGGTTCATCGGCTAGGATCTGTGGTGTAGCTGAAAACCAAACGGCCCTAGAAAAAGAACAAGTGAAAAATAGATTATCTTCATTTTCTACTAAGCCACACCTGGTACAATGCTCGTCTATGTGTTTGGAGTAGTTGCCTACTTGTTCCCCTGTTGCTAAGGCTTATTTGTAGCTTCCGTGCAAATGTTTTGAAACGTGGCTGAAGGAAAGGTCCATTCACATTTTAACAGTTTTAGGATGGGATGTTGTAAGCTTGGCCGCCTTGTGTTGTCGCTAGGTATTGAGTTTCTCTTGCGTCTTGCCAACTGCGTATATGCTTCTTTGGAGGTGCACATCCCTGATGTTGATGGCTGCCAGCATAAGATACAAATGGGTACCTGCTCAATTCAGTTAGCATTCCAGATTTTTGTGTTTGTAATCCATAACTCTGAGACTTTTAGGCAAGGTCGTATGTCCTGCATTTTCCTGAAGAAGGTTGTGGAGCTGTTGGCACTTTTAGGTGACCTGCTTAATGTAGTCAATAACTAAAAAAAAACCCTCACAAGTCACATCTCTATTTATCTTCTTCTCAAGGATGGCTGTGTCATGTATTGTTTCAAAGTCTGAAACTGGTGTCCTGCTTTTAGGAATCACTAATGATACAAAGGACCCTTCTGTGGATTCTTTCAAGACAACAACCTTGCATATGCTCAAGCACTTTGGTGTTCCTCTGGAGGGTTTCGCTCTAAATATTGATAGCCGTGGATCTCCTCCTCTTGGTGGTGGTGAGGTGTTTCTCCGGGTTTGCAATATAAATAGCACATTGACGGTGCGTTTCATTTTGATTTCCTGTTGATTATATGTCAACTCTTCTGGCATTGACATCTGATGCTAAGTACTTTCACAGGCAGCAAACTGGGTAGATGAAGGTATGGTGAAGAGGATAAGGGGTGTTTCGTTCTCCACTAGAGTATCTCCACAGTTGCAAAGCCGCATTATATATGCTGCACGTGGAATCTTCAATCGCTTCATTCCTGATGTTCATATAGACACGGATCATAGATCTGGTTCTGCTGGTGGGAGGTAGTTTTCCTTTTCCAATCCTATTGAATTTTGATAACTGCATTCTTTCCTGTTGTCTCTTGTGAGTTGTCACTCAGAAATTTGCCAGATCTTTTCAACTTTTCTTTGATATGTGGCAGGTCACCAGGCTATGGTGTATCATTAGTTGCTGAGACCACTACGGGATGCCTGCTCTCTGTAGATGTCACTGTGAGTTATCCTAGTGTTGATGAAATAAATGAAGAATCTGAGAAGCCTGAGCTGACTTCTCCGGAGGATCTTGGTGTTCAAGCTGCATCAATGCTACTAGAAGAGGTGGCTCAAGGAGGTGTTGTTGACTCTACACATCAGGTCTGTCTTTCTGAGTTGTGCCTGATGTTATGCTTGATGATGGCCCTATATCTTGTTATGGGCTCAGCGAAGCTTAGACAGGGCAGTGAAGCATTTTGTTCTTTTGGCCAGTTTGTGTCTAGCTGCAAGTTCTACATGGCCTGTGGATTAATAGATATGAAAATATTTTTTTCAACAATCTACTTCTCTTACAAATTGATGTCCTGTCTTGGACTGACAGTGCTGTACATTTATGTTTGCCCATCTTAAATTAATTGTTGTCTATCCTGGTAATATTCCATGCATAAGTTACGTTTTTGTTTATTGAGTTTCTCTTAAATGCTTGCAGGGCCTCCTATTTATCCTGTGTGCTTTATGCCCACCTGATGTATCAAAGGTTCGTGTGGGACAGTTGACTCCATATGGTATAGAGACACTTCGAAACATCAGAGATTTTCTTGACGTCAAGTTCATCATCAAGCCTGATCCCAATTCGAACACCGTTACATTGAAATGTGTTGGCGCGGGAGTGAAGAATCTTGCTCGGAAGATTTCATAAGCAACAGGGCCATTAATCTGATCAAGGATTCATGATACATCAAGAGACTACTATGAGACCCTGTTTGTAACTGCAAACAGCAGGGGAGTTCCCCTTAGCTGCTCCTGCTGAAATTCTGTTCGAGGTCGCGCATATTATAGACCGAAAAACTAAATTTGAAGGCATTAAATTACTCTGTCAACAGTCTCTGAATATGTACACTCCTTTTTTTGAAACAAAAAGTATTGATTCCCAGTATGACATTCTATGCAGATACGTTCGAAAGAAAACAAACCGTGCAAATATTGGCCATGTATATATGTTGCATGTATGACGTATGCTCGTACGATTTTCAAATGGATACTCTGTCGCCATTAATCCTACGACAAGGGTTACACAGAACATATGCAAATTGCCATCGGTTACCTCCCAAATCATCGTTTTGAGCGGAGAATGGATCGGAGATGGGCCGGGAACGGACCAAAGACTACACTACAACAAGAAATCCTAACGGCCTCACTTGATTTTATTAATCGACCCACATGCCGGCTCTCAGCAGCCGGCAACAACCGATCAAATAAAAGGAAAAAAAAAAGTAGCCGGCAACATGTCCTTTCTCATGGGAACCATTGCCATCGCCGCGAAAGAAACCATGGCGGATCGGAGATATGCCTGAGGAGGAAACAATGATCATAGAACGGCAGAATGTACAAGGCGTACAGCTAGCTGCACGAAGCATTTCGCTGTTCGTTTGCACTCGAGACATAGCCATTGAAGAATCCAAAACTGCTATTTCAAAAAAGCATCTTCATTCCTTCATCAGGGGCTTATATAAACCCATGCCAAGTGAACTGTAAACCTCGCAGAGACATACATTTCACCGTGCGTAAAGATGAGGAGCAACAATGCTTCTTCTCTCTTCTGCGTTTTGCTCATCATCTGCGCCGCTGCACTGCACGCAGATGCGTCCCAAGAGGATCAACTGAGAAAATTCATCAGGTCTAGGAGGGACAGTCGTAGCGACAAGGGCACGTTTAAGGTGAGTAACATAGGCCACAGGGTTGCCAGTGGCCTCCTGAGCACAAGGTTCTCCGACAGCGAACAGAGCGCCCTGAAGGCAGCTGACAAGATCACTGCGCTGCCGGGGCAACCAGACGACGTCGACTTCGACCAGTACAGCGGGTATGTGACCGTCGGCGAGGAGAATGGCCGGGCACTCTTCTACTACTTCGTGGAGGCGCCGCAGGATGCCTCGACAAAGCCGCTCCTCCTGTGGCTTAACGGAGGTACATATATCTTCTTTGAATTGTGGTAGAGCAGTTGCACGCAATGAGTTTGAACCTAACAATATACTAGTTCTGGAGTTCATTAATGTCAGTATGCGTGTGTTTCTGCATGTTAATGCATCAGTATGCATGGGTAATTAACCTTGTAATTAACCGTCCACAGGGCCAGGATGCTCGTCGCTTGGCTACGGAGCAATGCAAGAACTCGGCCCGTTCCGTGTAAATAGCGACAACAAAACGCTGAGTAGAAACAAGAAAGCTTGGAACAATGGTAACTTGTAACTGCCTTTCTTTTGCTTAAGCTGGAAACTCATCGACAATATGTATATTTTTGGATGGGAAAACTCGATCTAACAGGATTAATAATTAAAAAAACGGTGTATATGTAGTGGCTAATGTGATCTTCTTGGAATCGCCGGCGGGTGTCGGATACTCTTACTCCAACACATCCTCGGACTACGACCGCAGTGGAGACCAAAGGACAGCTGATGACGCGTATTTGTTTTTGGTTAATTGGCTGGAACGCTTCCCCGAATACAAAAGCCGTTCATTCTACATCTCCGGGGAGAGCTACGCCGGGCATTATGTGCCTGAACTTGCTGCCACCATCCTAATCCAGAATTCCTACAACAGCAAGACGGCAATAAACCTACGGGGCATCTTGGTACCAAATCGATTTTTTCTTTGCAGCAGGTTATATATAGTTAGCTTTGCAAAATAACAAATTTGTCCATAATGGTTATATATATCCTTTTCCTTCAAGGTTGGAAATCCACTTCTGGATTGGAATATGAACTTCAAGGGTGCAGTTGACTACTACTGGAGCCATGGGTTGATGTCAGACGAGGTATTTGACAACATAACCAGGCACTGCAATTTTGACAATTCAGATGGTGTGTTATGCAATGGCGCTGTGGATGCGGTCGATCCTGGACAAATTGATGATTACAACATCTATGCTCCAATCTGTGTTGACGCGGCCAACGGAGCATACTACCCCAGTGGCTACGTAAGGCAACGATTCACAATGTTTCACTTCATATATTTGGTTCTATATATAACATTTTCCACATATTGCAGTTACCTGGATATGATCCATGCAGCGATTATTACACCTATTCCTACCTCAATGACCCAGCAGTGCAGAATGCTTTCCATGCTAGAATGACAAATTGGTCAGGATGCGCGTAAGATCTTTTGATTGGACCCATCAACACTCAGGTAATGTAATATCAGTGAGCTAATTACAGATTATTCACCTCAAGCTCGTGTGGTTTGTGCAGAAACTTGAACTGGACCGATGCACCGATTTCCATGGTGCCAACAATCTCATGGCTAGTTGAGAAGAAGTTACCTGTCTGGATTTTTAGGTAATTTAGTGGCGATTTTTCAGTGTTGACAAATTAAACTATCCAAAGCACATATAGTAGTAATATGTATTGTACAAATGAAAATAATGCCATTATGAAAAAATTTCAGTGGCGATTTTGATTCCGTATGCCCACTTCCCGCAATGAGGTATTCTATCCATGATCTTAACCTTCGCATCACAACTCCATGGCGTCCGTGGACAGTAAACAAGGAGGTAAGTTCTATGCATGCCAAAGTAATATTTATACCATCCTCTATTGCTGCAAATAGTTTGTATTTCTTATGTTCCAAATAATTATAATTTAGTTTAACTTAATTTTACTAAGCTTTTAGAAAAAAAATGTTACTCTCTTTTTTTCCAAATTGTAAGTCATTTTGCCTTTTATAGGTACACCTTTTTCTATGCACCCGTATCTAGAAAGGACAAATGATTTATAATTTGAAATGGAGAGAGTCGCATTTATAAGTTCAAACAACTATCAAGGCATATTTCATAGAAAATTTAGTGAAACTAATTTGACGTTGTAGATTTTTTTTCTATAAAAACTTGGTTAAAATTAGAGGAGATTGACTTATAATAACGTGAAAGTAAACTGCAACTTAGAACAGAGTGTGTTACTATTTGAAGCTCAAAAAGGTCTCCATGTTAAGTTTTACGAGGTGTGCTAGGAAAAATAATAAATCCTAAAAATTATAAGAAAAATAAAAAAGCATGGCTTTTAATTTGGTAGGTTCTAATTATCACCACCACTAAGACATTGGATGTATTATGTTTTCTTAAAAATTACCCACTTATACCATTATGATAAATTCATAAAGTAACGACTTTATATCTAAATTACCCACATCTACCATATAACCCCCAGAAGTTGCATCAAAATGGTCCACTTCTGATAATTTAAAATAAATCCTTAATTTTGTATCTAAATTATCTACATCTATCATTAACAAAGACAATTCAAAGTAACCCCTAAATTTACATCTAAATCACCCACATCTTCCATAACAAAAATAATATAAAGTAACACCTTTCGTTTGTATCTAAATTACGCACTTCTATCATTTGAAAAAAATAAACCAAAATATACCTCAAACCGATCTTGAGCACTTCATGCATGTTTAAATGGACATACCACCGTAGTACTTCAGAGTGCAATCTACAATCTAAATTTTTTATTTTTAATAAAATACAAAATGAGAGTTGATAAAAGATACAGTAAACACAAAGTTTCAACTTAAATTAAGGATAAAATATTATAGCAACTAATAAATTCAAAATTTTCAAATCAAAATCTTGGTGGTGCCATGAGACATGGGCTGCAACAAGATCCACCACAACTTAAGCTAGGGTTTTAAATAAATGCATATTAAAGGTACATGAAGGTGCCATGCAGAGGGGGAAAGTATGTATATATGGATGAAAAGCCATATAGATAATAAGTTAAACAAATGAATAGAAATAACTGAGTATCTATATATGTATTGCATCCAAAAATGACAAAAGAAAAAAACATTAATATAAGTAAATTTTATTAGTTGTAGGTATTAAACATAAACATATCATAAATATGTCTTCTATGGTTCTAGCCCATGCGGGAGCTTGGGTTGATGGGCTAGTAAGATATAGATTTATTTCCTATGGAACTCTTATGTGAATCTCATCTTTAGAATAAAGCCTTACATATATACAAGTTTATAATAAGCTTGGTTCATGAATTTTGATGATTATGCTTGCAGGTTGGAGGATATGTTCAACAATACAAGGGAGGATTCACATTTGCCTCTGTCAGAGGAGCTGGTCATATGGTTCCGTCCTCTCAGCCCGAGAGAGCATTAGTATTATTGGACTCCTTTTTCAAAGGGGTGCTCCCACCGTACGTAATGGAGCAGTAATTCCTTAAAGGGATATATGCTCAATGACAAACTCAATAAACTAGAGCAAAACTTTTCTGTGAGACAATGTTGGTACTTTTCATTTAGTATAACTTTGATTGATGTTGGTTTTATATTATATGGTATGTGGTTGTTATAATTAAAGCTTCATGTTTTCCCTTAGTGGACATGGATTTTTGGTCTGTGTGAAGTGACAAGAGTACTATGCACAAAGATTGTGCCCTATACATGTGAGACAGTGCACTCCGTTATCCTGTTTTTCTTTAAAGCTGGGCAACCTTCTATTTTCCAATGTAATGACCATGAGTACGGTTGCATTCTTTAGGTTTCAACACTATATTTCTTTGGATTATTGGTGACGTCTTTCTAGAGTTGTTTCTGGAGTGTTTGGTTTTGTGAATCAATCTATTCTAGATGAAATAATGCATCATGAGTCCATCTCTTAAATTTAATGAAATGACTTTATTCCTC